TGAATTTTTCTAAAAGATGGCGCGTGCTGGGTAGCGCCGCTCGTGACTCCAATCCATCCAGGGTCTCTCGTCACTTCCGACTATTTATAGACGGCCGCTCGATATGATGTACCGGTGTTATTTTTAGCGGCTTACCTAGCTACGGCCCTTTCACCCCTTCGAAATAGCACTCGGGGAGACTCGAACGATAACGGTATTCGTTACGCATCGAATCATCCAATATCGACGATTCATTTTTCAAATCCGAAAATCCGTAAAAACCGTCCGATTTTTTTTCATACATAAATAAATACATACAATTTACATTTTTATATACGTTAACATAGCGTTTTTCGCCTATGCATCTTGGAAAAATTCGAGTCACGATAACCGCCGTTCGTGATCTCATCACGTTCGAATACCAATTGCAATTCTCAATCCGAAAGATGTTTATTTGCACAGTCGATCACGTAACTCCGTTTAATTACGCGTTGGCGCGTATATATCGTAAAACATCTTCCACTTGAAAAAGCTGAATCGATACAAATATTCCGAAGGACTCGCGTCCTTCTCGAACGATATTATTCCCTCTTTATTTCCTTTCGAATTCTCGTTTCGGAATTAGCAAGATATCTCTTAAGGTAATGTTGTTCACGTGTCGAGCTGTAAGCGAGAAAGAAAGAGACGGAGAAAATTCACTTCGTAGGTGGTCTCCTCGTCGGTAATACGCCGTATGGCGTGCTAGGATAAAAATAGTAACGGTCCCGTTCGAAAATACCAGCTGCTAAAAATACGAGGAAAAATAAACGTCTACACGTGCAAAAACATGCATTAATATTCGCTGTACGCCCAATGTTCGTGTTTTCGTGTCGCTAGATGCGCCCAAGAGAATCGGGAAAGAAGGAAAGAACGAGACGAGGAAGGAAAATGGAAACCCAAGAAGCGTGCAAAATAGAAAACGAATGGAAGGAGAAAAAAAGTGGAACCACTTGACGATTGCTAGGCCTCGAATCGTTCCACGAATCGTTGCACAAAAAAGAGAAACACATCGGGACGGTTGGCGATCTACGAGATGAAAGCTTGATCTTATCGCGGTTTACGCGGTCGGTATATATTTTCAAACTATCGTAAAACGCGTTGGCGCCATCCTGACAGGTCATAGCGATGCTCTTTACTGACTCACCGAAAACAAAAGTAGCGACAACCATGATCGCGTTATCGTTGTTGTCGTCGAAATACGTCGTTCGCTCTCGTTTCTCACGAGGATTGAAAGATTCGATTCGATCGAAAGAGACGAAGATTGACGACAAAAAAAGAAGAAAACAAAAAAAGGATAGCTTTATCCATCGAGAGAAAAGGACGAAGGAGAGAGAGAGAGACAGAAAAAAAAGGATAAAAACAGAGATGAAATAACACAGCTACACGCTAACACGAGGTAAGGTTGTAGATGTACAAAATAAGAGAGCGAGATGCGAAGAGATTGGAAAAGGAGGGAAAAGGCAGGAGTAACGTATAAATAGATGGAGGATGACCTTTGCACGGATCAACGTTTACTTTTATACCACCGTTATTAAGCTAGGTTATTGGTTCTACCCCTCTCCCGATTCCTTCTTTTCGGATAGATGCCACCGTTCCACCGTATCTGGGTTATGTTTACTACCCCCTCCCGATATCTACTCTCCGCGTATCTCGCACGAGGTTTACGCGTGCTCCAAGTTTGGCGCCTCCTACGCTAAGCGTTTCGTCGCCTGGAAAATAGATACTCGCACCCTTCCCAGTGTGGAAATTTCGAAATTTCCGAAAGGAGAAGCAACGTGATCAAATTTAATAAGGTGAAAAAGGTGGCGTGGAAGGTGGTAGAAGAGGAAAGAGAAAGAGAGAGAGAGAGAGAAGGTTAAACAATAGGATTTTAAGAATCAGCTATGGTAAGTTGAATCGTCCGTCGGTAGAAACGGTAACCTCCGTTCACGTAGCAACGAGCCGTTGCGATAAAAATAGAAATAGACATGGCGAATCGATCGCCGGTCGTTTCCGTCGGACTATCTCCCCCCTCCCCCCTCC